GATTTTCAGTCAAGTTCATAATTTTTAGTGTGTTCGGTCATTTTTTGGGCTAGTTCAGGCCCTTTGATAGAAGTAAAGCCTGGATAATTATCTACATCGGCTGTTTTATTTAATTTGCCACCGGTTAAGGATTTTTCCAAAATTAGACATTTCAAAAGTGCTCGTTTGGCGTAAATGGCCGCCGTCAACCCGGCTGGTCCGGCACCAATAATAATCAAGTCATAGAGCATATATTAATACTATTTTAAAACGGAAAAGAAGCAAAAAAAAAAGATTTATAGAATATAGGAAAATTACCAAAAATAAAAAAGAGACTGATAATTCTTTGTTAATTTCTGTTTTAAATTACAAGAAAAAGCCAAAAATAAACTTAAAAATTGTGTTTTACGAAAAAAAAGGGGATTTAATAAGCAAACGAGTAAATATGTTAAAAGAAGGGATGTTGAAGTTTCGGGTAGGAGTAGAGATTGATTTATTGAGATGTTGAAGCAAAATAACTTTATAAAATGGTTAACTTATTTAAAAAAGATGAATCTATAAAACCCTATGGTGGTTATAAATTAACTTTCTATCCTGATGAATTTGTTTTACCAGGAGGAAAAACTAAGCAATTGCTTCATATTCATGTTATTGGTCAAGAAGGAGAAATAAGAGTATATTTGCTAATTAAAGAAAAATCCAATTTGTATATTGAGACTAAAAGAGGTAATATTCCCCAGCATAAACAAAGAAAAATAAAAGATTTTATCAATGACTATTATGATTTAATTATAACCCGAGTCAAAAAAGAATTAAAAAAGGTAGGAATAGAGTTAAAATAGTTTATATTATGGTAAGTATAGCAGTAAAGGAAATTAATAGAGAAATAAAGTTGGGGGTAAAAGGGGCAAATTTTTCTCAACCTAAAATTATTGCTTGTCAAACCAATAAAGAAAAATTAACAGCCGAATTAGACGACGGAAGAAAAGTAAGTATTCTACTCAATTTGCTTAATAAATGAATTTTTGGAAGAAAAGATATTAAAGCCGAACAATTAAAAAATTACGAAATTTGGAATGAGGGGAGTAATATTTATTTTCCTGACATAGATGAGATTTTGCCAGCCCGAGTATTATCCAAAGGTTTATTTTCTTCCTGTGATGAAGACATGGACACAAATGTAGATGAAGAGAAAAAAGAAGCAGCAAACGATACAAACTTCATTAGAATGTTTGTAGAAATAAGAGCAGAGGAATGGAGTAGTTTCATCGATAGAGTATTTCCCAAGGCTTTCTGCCAAGAAAAAAAATATGAACAACAAAAAATCCTCTATGTCAAGGACTTCAAAAAAGATAAAGCAAAAATAATTAAATGACTGGAGGCAAAGAGAAAATTATTAGAAGAAGTTGTTTTAATATTCAATGAAAAAGTTATAAGCAAAAAAGATATTGGACATATTACTAACAAGTTAATCCCCACTTCCTATTTAGAAAATAATTTCCTTGCAATACTACTCAATCGAAAAGATGCTGGTTTGAATATCCAGGCTAGAAACTTGTGTCGTGATAATGAAGGCGATGGAATAATTGTAGGTGTTAACTATAAAAATGTTTATGCTTGCATTATTGAAAGTTAGATAATCACAGTAGTTTGACGGATGGATCCTAATTAAAATGTGCTAAGTTCCATAAATGAAGTCCCCTTGCCCTAAAAATAAACCCCTAAATTTGAACTCAAAAAAAGACCAAGGCGGAGGAGACTTTAACCAAATTGAATAGTCTACTAAAAAATAATAACAATATGACTATAACAAAAATAACACAAGAATTAATAAACGAAAGAATAAGCCGAGAGGGCCAATTTAAAGACGATCAAGAATGAGTGATTAATTATGTTAAAAATGCTATTGATGAAAAAGATAATACGGCAGAGTTAAAAGATTTGATAGATAATTCCGATAACGATAATATTAAAAATTGAGAAGCAAGGATAACAAACGAAAAAAAGAATAAAAGGAGTAGAAAAGTAGTTGTGCCTATCATTGTAGGTTATGCTGATGAGGTGATTGACTTTTTGAATGCTGAATCGTCTGACGATCGAAATCGCGGCACCGGCCAAAATACAGGTGAAACGACACTAGCGACAGCCCCACAACTTCTTACTCTTGACGAGGTTGAAGGTTGGAATAATGTCAAAAGTGCTTTAGACGGATCAGGTTTTAATGCTGACAAAAAGCAGATAATCGCTCGTGTTAATGATTACCTTAATAATATCTCTCCTGAATACCGGGATTTAGTTAAACAAAAAGTAGATGAAAAGGAAGAATGAAAAAATTGAGAAAGAAAAATTAGCAATAGAAGTTGAACATGGGGAATTGGTGCTGAAGCTGGTTTGGATGCGGCCAGAAATTACGCTATTAATATTGCTAACGGGGTTCTGAAGGTAGCCTACAACGCTTGATGAATTAGTGATTTCAAAGCCGCATCGGCTTTTGTTGGTGCTTACAACGATATGGAGGATGATGATATTCTGGACTACCGAAAAAGTGGAGGCAACCGCCGAGCAACAGGTGCCGAAGGAGCCATTGCTCGCAATGGTGGTTGACTAGAAAATGAAATTGAAATCTTTAATGATGGTAGATGTGCAGTCCGCACTCCTCCCAACAAATGATATGCTTTTGATTGAACCAACCCCACCAACACCAAAGCGGTTTGAAATGCAGGCAGAATAGTTAAAAACAATTTTATCAATGAATTCCGACTTACAGGACAAAATCGCCGATAATGAGACGCTTGAATTCACAAACACAGCACTAACAATTTTTATTGAATAACCGGAACCCAAGCCGGAAAGGTTTATAATAATGGATGACATGACCCGAGCGAAATCATGATTAATGACGAAGGTGTTATTTGCGGTTCGTTGGATGGCGGTGAAAATTTTCTTGCGGATATTGACCCAACTGAAACGACCCGCACAGCGGTAGAGGAACAAGAGCAACGACAAAGAAATACAATAGAACCAGAATTACTCAACTTAGAACAGGTTAAAAATTGAAATAATGATACCGGTGGAAAAGTTTGGAATGGATTTGGTTGGAGCGATAATACAAATATCAATGCCGACAAGACCCAAATAATTGAGTATGTTAATGACTATCTTGATAATGTTATCCCTAATCAATACCGAGAACAAATTAGAAAAACAGTGGACGGCGATGCAGTAACGGCAAGATGAGAAAGAGAAGTTGGAGGGGTAGGAGTTGTTGGGAGACTTGAATTTGACGAGCGAAGGCAAGAGGCTATCAATATTGCCAATAAGGTTTTGAAGTTAGCCCATGATAAATGATGGGTTTTGGAGTTTCAAAATGCTTTTATTAATACTTTTACTGACGAAGATTATGAAGTGCCATCAAGCGATAGTTGGATTTTGGATTTTCTTAAAACTAACGGAGGACACACTATAACCCCTCAGCAAGCAGCCACGATAGTAGGTGGAGATTGGAGAAGAAATTGGAAAGCCCGAGAAATCCGCATCAACAACGACGGCACTATCCGTGCTTCCCTTAATAATGTAGACTGAACTATTGACCCTCTAACTACCACAAAAACCCAAGCCCGAGATAATGCCAAAAATGCTTGACGAACTGCTATGGCTGGTGCGGCCCATGGTCCTCGCAATACAAATCTGACAGTAGGAGGCAACGCAGGAGCCGACGATACTATAATGGATGCTTGATTCGCCAAAACCGTGCTAGGGGGTGGAAATGTCCTAGATGCTAATTTAACGGCCACTAACGCCCGTGCTCTTTGAGATAATAATTGAGATGCCGCTGACATTCAAATTAACGGCACTGATATTCGGGTGGTTAATCCTCTCACTGGAAATAATGTAGATGGTTTTGCTGCTATTGATGCTTTGGGGGATAAAGCGGTGTTGACCGCTGCGGCGGCTGTTCGTCAAAAATTCATTACTGACTTCAAAGCCGTTTCTGGTGCTTCGGCCAGTGCCTCCGACCCCGATATTTTGGCTTATTTTGATAAAAACTTAACGGCTGAAAAAGCCGCTGAACTTTACAATGGTAATCCTCGGGTTGACGGCTCAGAATTAGAGAAAGGAACAACTAATAATAAAGTAAAATATGACAATAAAGAATATGATGCTGACAAGCCAGCCGACATTGCTGCGGCCAAGAAAGCCAAAATTGACGCTGATGAAGCAGCAAAATTATCCAGTGCTAAAACTAATGCTATAAGTGCTATTCAAACATTAATGGATGATACTTCGGGTAATAAAACTAAACTAACTGATGAGGAATTAAAAACAGAATTGAATAAAACCGAGGCTAATTTAATTGATGGCACAACCATAAAGGATTGAAAAGATTATATTAATGCGGCTACTACGGAGACGGAGGTAAGCAATCGCCAAGATAAAATTAAAAAGGCCATTAAAGAGATTAGGAAAACCAAAGAGCCTCCTTTTGACGCTGCTGCTGCTCGTTTAAGGGCTATTACGGAGGTCAAAAATTACTGAAAAGGCAAATCCAACAACCAGACAGAAACCGGCTTGATTAACAATAAAAAGATAACGGAGGTTCTGGGGGCTGAATGAGAGAAAGAATTTGAGGATAAAAATACCCAAACGGATATTGATAACAAAAAAGTTGAATTAACTGGTAAAATTGATGCTGAAAAGGCAAAAGAACCAAAAGAATCCAGCCGAAAAGTATCAGCAGAGGAGGTGAAAAAAGTATTTGAAACTATTACGGGAGAAAGTAATGTAGAAGTTCCTAACGAAATAGTTGAATCTTGACGGGCTTTTGACAATGATAAATCTGAACTAAGAACTGCCGTTCAAATTAAAGAATTTTTCCAGGAAAATATTAAAGAGGGTGAAAAGGCGGACTTCTCGGAGTATTTGAGCAAATTGTCTGCGACAGAGCAACCAACCGGCAGCAATGAAAAAGAAAAAGTGAATGATTTCTTAACTCATCAAAAAGCCGAGGTAGTAATCAAAGCCATATTTGGTTATAAATTGAAAAAAGATGATAATTTTGTGAATGAGGTCAAAGCTAAAATGGAAGCAGAGAAAAATGACGAGGGGCAACCATTAGACCAGGATGTTTATCCTAAACAAGATGATAAATATACCCAAGAGGCCATGATAAAATATCTTTTTCAGAAAAAAACCGGTCAGGCTCATCAATTTGCGGCTAAACAACAAAGTCAAGGAGCTACTGAAAGCCATTGAGATAAATACAAATATTTATATGGTCTGTTAACTGTCCTGTTATTAGCAGCTGGATTAGTGGTGATATTCTGGGAAAGATTAACTGGTTCGGTTGAGGGAGGAAAAAATAATGCTTAAAGGAGCGGGTGATTGAGTTAAAAATCTAATTTGCGTTATGAAAGAGGAGAATTGTTTACTTCATTAATTAATTTCATTTCTTCTAACAAAGAGAGATTTTTGGGTTCTGAAAGATACTTTTTTAATTCTTTTTGGGTCTCTTCTCCCAAAATCTCCCGAAATTTCTCTCATTCTTCATTTTTCACCGCTGTAAGAAGACTGGTTAAATTCGGATAAAACTTAGTTAATTTTTGGGCTTTGACCGAACTGAGAAGTGGGATTCCCAATGCCGTTAATAAATTATCCAGAGGCCTTTTTTTGGAATTCTCTATTGAGTGCAGCATATTACCAACACTCTTTTTCCGAAATCCCTCTAATTTTAACAATTGTCTTTCCTTTTGATAAAGACGGTAAAAATCAGCCGGCTGGTTCAATAAATTATTCTCATAAAGTTTTTGAATATTTTTCGTGCTGATGCCCTTAATATCTAAGCCTCTTTTGGAGGCAAAATGAACTAAATAATTAACAACTTTTTGAGGACATTCTTTATTTTCACACAATTGATAAATATTGGTGGAATTTCATTTTAAATTTGAATTACAAGAAGGACAATGGCTCGGAGGTTGTCAATTGGCATTATCTTTTAATTTAATTATTTTGGTTATTTGGGGAATGACGTCCCCGGCTTTTTTGATTACTACTTCATCACCGATATTTAACTCTAAATTAGCGATAAAAGCATAATTGTGGAGTGTTACTTTGCTAATTTTACTGCCTTGTAAAATTACCGGAATTATTTCGGCCACATAAGTTATGCGGCCGTTGCGGCTTACTTCCACATAAATATTTTGAACTTGACTGACCGCCAACGAAGCCGGAAATTTATAGGCTATAGCCCAGCGGGGAAAACGGCTGGTCTGTCCCAATTTTTCATAATGCTTGTAATCATTAACCTTAACCACCACCCCATCACTTTCAAAATCCAAACTTTCTCGTTTTTTCTCTTGCTGCTGAATAAATTTTTCCACTTCCTCAATGTTTCTGAATAAACGATAATCAGGACTAACCGCAAACCCCAATTTTTCTAATTCTTGGAGACAAGACAATTGGGACGGCAAATTGCTATTAAATAATTGATAAGCAAAAAAATGTAGATTTCTATTTTGGAGAGGAACCAGAGTGCGTAAACTGCCAGCTGCGGCATTACGAGGATTGGCTAATAATTTATGACCGG